ATAACTGTACACGATAGGAATACATTATGAAAGAGTATTATGTGTACTGGAGTCCTAACATACATTGGTTTGCCTAAGCATAAAGTATATACTCATTCTTTCAATAATACCGGTTAATCGTTACGTTGTGGATGTACTAAGCCACCAGTCAGCCCTCCCAAAGGGCAGAGGCAGTCATGGCAATTTAAAGAATTACAGTAATACCAAAGAAGAGTAATACCTACATTTTTATTAAAGTTGATACAAGAGAGAAAAGCGAGTGTCATGTTCTGAAACATTGTGTACTTATTTCTTACTGTACATAAGTTTGGAGGGGTGGCTGTGAGTTTGTGGCAGATGCAATGGGAATGAGGTTGTTATTCACATGTAGAAATTAGAGGATCATTACCTTTCTCATCTGCTATCTCATCTTCATTTTCACCAGATTTCTAGTAGAGGAATCAGGAATATATCCACTTTCTAGCTTCCATTTTTTAAAGTTCATGAAAAAAGGTCTTTCCAAAAGTAAGCTCAACAGTCCCTTAACCCACCCGTGCCGGGGTACATTTTGTAGCCAAAATTTAAAAAAATCCGGGCGGCTACAAATCGGCGCGGCGGAGTTTCCCCGGAGTCTGTCCACCGCCCGGCCGCGCGCCGCTTCTGCCGCGGAGCACGGCTCCGAGACAGCATCGCACTGGCGGGCAGCCCGACACTGTTTATTTTTTCCCTGTCTCTCATATATGTGACACCCGGGACGAATGGGTTAAGTGCTCATTTCAACTTGTTTGTTTACAACTTTCATTCTTTAGATTATTTCTTGTCGTCTTGTCTAGCATCAACACAATATGCTAATGCTTAGCTTTGGGTCTCATCATTCTTTAAAATTTGGCAGAGGGAGGATATGATAATCGCGTTTGTGGAAAATTTTGACCGAAAGCCAGCTTGATAAGGTTTCACCCTGAGATATTGTTACAAAGTGGCAAATGACTAGGACACCTTGCCATGAGTACACACAGATTTTGAAAGGAGACTAGTGACTCCCTAAACCAGGTGAATATGGTTTTAAAAGTGTGTAGCTGGAGGAAACTTGCCAAAGAGGACCAGAATTACTTCCTCACACTCCATAATTCTATTAACCAAGAGAGAGAGAGAAAGAGAGTGCAAGTGCGAGTGAGTCCACACACTTTTTGAGAATCTGTGTTCACGTGAGTCAGCTGAGATTGAAAGTCAAAAGTGTCATAGGAATCCTTACTTATATTGGTTATTAAAAACCATTTTTCATTCTTACAGATCCAGGATATTACATAGGACCAGTTTTGGTCAGGGGTGGCGGCAGCAGCCGTTACAGGTAAGGCCGTTTTCCTATTCCTTTGTAGCTTATGTCTGTGATGACAACTGCAGCATTGAGCTGATGTCATTCAGTGGATTGAAATATAGTTTCCTTTCCAGTTATAGATGTTCTGAACTGTTAGTGGTCTACTTTGGCTACTTTTGAAACTAAGATTTAAAGGACTGTTTTGTAAAATGCTGTTACGATTTGACTGCCCTTGTCAAGCTAGTTACCAAAGCATTCGTATTAGATACTTTGAATATATAATATTCATAAATTTGTGAAATGTTCTTTTATTAACCAGTGAAAATCTGTATAACCCCTGATTCCAGTAAAGATCCTTAAAAATAAGTGTGAAATCCCCTGGCACACAGTTCAAATCACTTCCAAGCCTAAGTCATCTGGGGTATTGTGATACTAATTCCTTCTTTTCTGCTTGTTGTAGAAGTGGGAGCAACAGAGTGGCAGAGCCAGTGGTGGCTATGGTCGAGGGGCGGAGGTGGGCCAGTGGAGGAGGTGGAAGCTACAGTCGCGGGAACTACAGCCGTGGAGGAGTGAGCAACCACAACCCACACTATAGTGGAGGTGGCAGTTACAGCAGCAACAGGCACCATGGAGGGGGCAGCCACAGTGGCACTGGTGGATATGGGGACGGGGGCTATGGACGCACAGGCCATGCTTCTAGCCAGGGCAGGTATGTTCTGTCTGTGTTCAGATTTTTGTAATTTTTTTCTTCTCTTTATAAAGTTTTGAGTCTTCATTTATAATGTATGCCTCTTCTCCTTTCTCTTTCTCCTTAACATTTTTCTCTATAAAGTTGTAGTCTCAGGGTGGAATTTACTTGTGTGGTGCAGTTACACAAGTCTGTCTGTGTGCTGGTCATGCAGTGTTAGCTCACAAGTATGGTATGCAGTATGTTGAAGTGTACTATTTGTATATGAAATACTTGGTTCATGTAATATTGTTGTGGCAACATTGCATATATATAGAAGTATTGATATGCAGATGTGAAAGGATTTTGAATAATACATTTTCATAAAAGATATTCATATTAGATATTACATTATATTAGTGGTCTCGCTTTTATGCATATTTTTATCTGCTTAAAGTTGACATAGTTAGAGATATAACAAACAAGAATATGAATGTAAAGGTAATATATAATAAATAACATGTTTAAATGTTATGAAGAAGTTGAAAATCTGAAAATAAGTTGTTACCAAACTTTTACTGTTGAAATGTCGTATCTGATATTTTCAGTCACTTTTTATTCAATACATGGTTTGCCTAAGTTCTTTTTAATAATACTATCTCTGCTGAAAACTAATTAAAGGGAGCCCAGATATTCCTAGCATTACATCCTGGGAAAGTTTGTGAGTTACAAGGGATATGTTTGTGAAAGTCACTAGAGTGACCTTACTATATGTGCTTGTAATAGCTACGCACAAAATCTGTTGTATATTTGATTTTGCTACTTCTCATAATGGGAGCCCTTGGCGCTATAATTGAATCTGCATCGGGGTGCACTTAGTCAGTTGCTCAAATAGTGAGGCTAAAAAGAGGCTTTAAGTCTATTTTGAGAAGCTTTTTCTCTAGCATCACCAGCCATGGTCAAACAAGTGCACAACTGAGAGAGGGCTCAATCACACAAGACATAAAGATGTTATTCTGTCATGAGTAGGTGAATGGGTCCCAGTGAGTCTTGCATCCTCACTCAGATTTGCACAAGTAAAATTGTGAGAAATTATGTAAGATGTGTATATACATTATATATCATGGAAGAGGGCAACACCATTAGCTTTATAATGTACACATAGCTCTCAAGGTATATAGTGATACAAGAACAAATTTACCCTCTTCTTTCTGTAGGCTTATGTCATGCTATCATTATTGTTTACTATGCAGACTTGAAGCTATGTGGCAAAAAATTAGCACTTGGTACCTCATAATATTTTCTGTGAACTTTATTAGTGCATTATATGAAATAGAAACAAATGTGCCAGTTACAGGTATCTTGATCAATAAACTAATTATAAAACTGTATAAGATGGCAATTGCTGAAGTTGCTGGTAGTTCAAGCCACAGATTTTAGTAGCTAAGGAGTGAACATGCTATATTGCCAGGTCTGGCTGAATGAAAAGTTCTTGCATATTGCTTTGCATAGTGATCTGCTATTGTACCTATGTGTAGCCAGGTGCTAGAATTGTAAAGCTATTCCAGGAAGAACTGGACAAGATAGAAAGGGAGAATAACTTGTAGTGGGCCTGTCATCACAGTACCCTCTCCCCCTCAACAATCTCGGAGTAACTAGGATGCTGGACCCAGTACAGTTGTATAGAAATCTTTCAACATGCAGATGTATCATAAGAATGCCACAAGATACTAAGATCCAGTTGTACACTTTTGTGTTCAGTTGGGGGGGGTGGGGGGCTGAATCTCGAAACAGATCACAAAATTACTGCTGTTTCTTTTGTAATTTTTAAAGAACTATAAAGCAAAAAAAGAGGAGGGAGAGCAATCATTGCCTTTCATAAATACCATTCATTAATTTTATGTATCATTCTCACTGATTTTCTGAAACTTGTTTGTGATTTTTAAAAATTATAATGTTAATATTGTAAAGAAACAACTCCATAAGATAAAACTGAATACCACAATGATTTCAGTTAACCATATTGATTTGGGTAACCCATGCTCTATGGTTTGCTTAGTTATCTGGCAACCAGGAGAGGCTTGTTTTGACACATTGGCTGTCTTGTTAGTTAGAATGGCAAGTTTGATATATGACACATTGTATTGCTTGTTTTCCTATCCTCTTGTCTTTTAATACCAGAAGTAAAAAAAAAAAAAAAAAAAAAAAAAAAATTGCAAGCCAGCCATACACCTGCATCATTGTTGAAGTCAGCTACGACATCACTACATGATATCTATAGTGCAAATAGGTTGTATATGACATCACTGCATGTCATTTGTAGAATTTTGCTATGGCATCATTGTATGCCATCTTCTGTGAAGAAGTGAAGGCATTGATAGCACCAGAAAAAACAAGGTTCAGAAATTATCCAAAGCAAAAATATACACAAAATGGTACACAGTGATGGGTTAAAGGGCATTCTGTGTTATATTGCTTATGTATAAGTTGCCAACACATCATGACATACACATACGGAAGTCAAGATTGAATTTTCCCCTGAATCCGTATGTCTGACCAGAATGGTGCAGTTAACTCAGTAAAGAAATCTGGCCAAAGTTCTGATGTCAGTTTTGTTTTTCCTGTCATTGAAAATATTTTCATTTAAAATGCATGGTAGTATTAGTCTTAAATGTTATGTAAAGAGTTGTTTGTAGTATATATTTTTTGTTAGTTTGATTCTGTAGTTTGTTTCATGTTTTTAATTTTCATTTAATTTTTGTTTTGTTTTACAATAGTTGTATATTTTGTTGATATTTTGTTTTTTTTTCTGCCTATGTTTGAGAATATACACTGAAACCACCATAAAACCAAATTAAACGAGTGTGCCTAAACCCCCCAACTTTGCATATGATTGCAGATCTCCAAACAGGTACAGCGGTGGCATGAACTCAGGCAGCATGATGGTAAACCCTTGGAGAGCGGCATGGTGCCCACAGCTGGGGGAGGCAGCGGAGGCAACGGGCTTCTGCCAACACCAGGAGGTTCAGGGGGTAGCATTGTGGGGGGTGGGGAGGGGCACATCCAACCTGCTGGGTTCCCTTAGCCAGCTCAGCCAGATGGGCAATAACGAATCCAAACTGGCGCTCAACATACTCAATGCCGTGCTGTCGTCGGTAAGTTTGGTTTTCGTCCTTGTTGCTTGCATGGTCAGATTTTTATAGTGGAACCCTTTGTTTTTTGTTTTATTTGATTTGTCAGTTTATGATTTTACAGAGGATTACCTTAATAGTATAGATTGATAGTTACAAAATATTTCCGATGTACTGTCTTGCAAAGTTTCAGAGTAAGTGCTGAATCTGTGCACCAAATTTGGAAACTGCATAGGAACGGCTGGAAAATTTTGCATTGGTAGATACACTTGTCTATTAAGGTTACACACCAATTGAAATTTGAGAAAACAATTGAATTTTTTGCTTCTCAGGTTTAGCAGTGCCAACATCTCGAACCAGTCTGACATTTTCTGTACCATGAACGTTCACAACTTTCTTACACTTTATCTAATTGTAAAACTAAAATATAACTAGATTAAGAGGGTAATTTTAAGAGGTCTGATATTTTAGACCTCTATATAGCAGACCAAACAACGGCATTATTCTCCACGTCAGGGTTCCTCGCTAGTGGACGGGCGTGACAGCCGTGATTATGGCCCTCCCGCCAACAAAATGCGTCGCATGGACAGGGTAAGTAGATATTCTTTTCAAACACAATACCTGTTTGTGTTGTTCTTAGCCTCGCTGTTGTAAGTAGTGACCAGGAGACATTTCAGTCAATTAAAAGACAATCCCAAAGTTGAAACCAATGGTGAACCATAGTTGAAAATTGGCAGAGGATTATGAGAAATTTACGAGGGGTCTCTGCAAAGAATGAGGTTGCACAGGAAAGGCAGTTCAGTACTTCATTTTTTCCTTAGTTTTGTTTTTTCCCCCCCTGTATTTGCATAGTGAAGACCAATGGCATTTAACGTGTTGTATGATTCCCGCGAACGACTTTGTCAAAGTGTTTTGGTCTCCCTTTATGCATTATAGGTTTGAAATGAAAGATGTAACTATTACTATGATACTGAATTTCTCCCTCTCTCAAAATATATAGTCACCATTTATTTTTTTATTGATATTTTTGAGGATTCCCTCCCTCCCCACTTTTTTTCCTTTACCTTTTATGCTACTTTGTGTAACATAAAAGTATAATTTTCCTTTGGTAACAATATTGCAAAAAATGACTGATTTTCAAGTGCATAATTCTTTATCCATATTTATTTATGGATGAAATAATATAAATGATATTAGAGAGTATATCAGAATAACATAGACCTTTAACAGAAGACAAAAAGACTTCAGGTAGACGACGGTAGCCATCCAGTTATTGCTGCATTTTGATGCAAAATATTAAGTAAAAGACAAAGTGATACATTACAGCAGTTTTCACAGTTTAGCTAACTTGCTTTGCGAGAGGAATACTATTTTCTTATTTACTCTTTTCCTGCACATAATGGAACAAAGCAATTTTTTCAAGGGAAACATATAGAACTCAATCTGTCTAAAACCCTCTCTGAATTTATTTCAATGAAGAGCACTCCTCTTTAACAGGTCTCGTTTTTGACTACATGTGCATGTCACAAAAACAACTTATTTTGATGGGCAATTAGATTATTACATAATACTTTTTGGTGCAGGAACGTTTACGGATCTTTGTCTCCTTTAACCAAAATGCAATGTAATTTAAACCAAAGAATTACAAAAAAAAAGGATTTGCATACATCACACACTATTTCACCACTGGTCTTAATTCTGTGAAATAACATATGGCCAAGACCCACTTCTTGTGTAACCATATGTAATACTTTGGGAATGTATTTTAATGGTTTCACCCTTCATTTTTGACATAAAGAAAGAGATTTCAGATGGCCATTCCCCTTCCACAGGAAGATATAATGACTCACTGGTTATAATACCTAAGGTTAGGATATTCAGTCATGAAAAAAGTATACATGGTGTGTACACACATTTCTTCCTAACAGTCTAGCCCTTATGATTGGGTTTTTACACTAAAGAGCAATACCACTTGTGGTGCTGTTTAAACTTCTCCAGCCTCTGTAGGTTGGCAGGATATAAGTGGTGTTTTCTTCAAAAAACAGAATTTTGTCAAAGCAGTACTGGGGCTACAGACTATTTGGGACAACTTAAAAGCCCAGGGTTCACTACAGCATGTAGATGCTGGCATTGCTGGATTGCATTGCATCTCTAATGCTGTTCTTCTCTTCAGCTGACATCTGTAAATCCTTCCAGAAGCGAAGGTTGACAGAGCAATGGTCATAAATGATTAATTTTTTATGATTCTTTTAGGATTGTGTGAAAATTTATAAGAAGTACAAACTAAAGGACCATTCTCTAGTAAGGTTAAAGGGTAACCTGAAATTAAAAGCTTGTGGTACTTGGCCTTCTCTTGCTAGGTCATGCCTTTGGCTCCTCACAGGTCAACAGGCTGACCAGTGTACCTG